TGTATTGTGATTTTTCTTGTGTTTCCATTTGTGGGTAAATTCCTTTTCACGTATGATCTTTGATCCCAAAAAATTGAATTATCCCATTTGTTGTTTTTATAATTCCTCAAGATTCCTGATTCCAAATGCCATCTTTATCAATGTTATTCTTGATTTTACATTGCAGTTCACAATAAACTTGATGAGATACTCAAAGGAATTAAAATCCTGCAAAAACGGCCGCAATTAGAATGCAGAAGTGAAGGTCAGTGACAACATATTAGCTACCGTCCAGTCATGATAAAATATAACAGAAATTATGAATAAAATGTATTATTTTTATAGCCGAACGTTTTCAAACTGACTAATAAAATAATAATCAAAAAATCCTAAAAATCCTAAAAATGCACTCGCGCAGCACTCGCGCACGCTTTGATTCAGAAATTTCTTGTTGTTATTGTTTTTCCCCGTTTTTATTTCAAGAATGTTTCCCGCGGGACGTGTTGAACAAAAACCGCTAATTGTGTCATACGCCCTTATGTATTTTCATGCGGTTGAAAAAAATTATTTTTTTGTTAGATCTGGAATCATATTCCRCCAACCTCAAGGAAGCGGTGATAAAGAAAACAGATTTGCTACCGAAAGGAATAAGTAAATCTAGACTGAAAACTGACGATATATTCACAAATCTAACTGTCTACCAAGGCAAACAAAAATCTCTKCAAGAAAGAGTTCAAGAAGATCACCGCACACGAAAAACGGTGACCGAAATTGATGAAATTTTTGTTGGCGAAAACGAAGACAACCCGAAATCAATTTTGGTTTCAGGCGAACCTGGTATCGGAAAAACGCTTTTCTCGCACAAAATCCTAAGAGACTGGTCAACAAATTGCATATCGATCCCTAAAATTAAGTTCACGTACCTGATAACGTTCAGGCAACTAGTCATGCTTGGCAACAAAGAGCTCACCCTCAGAGAACTGCTTAATCGCTCCCCTCTTCTGAACACAAGCACCATGATGGACGATACAGTAATGGCGCACGCCATTCACCATTCAGAGCAGTTCTTCGTTRTCCTTGATGGMTTTGATGAATACGAAGACCACAACAAAATATTGGGAAGTTATGAAAGCCAATTCCCCAATGATGCAGAAACCAAGATGCCGGTAGCTGCTCTGGTCAGCAAACTRATCAAAAAAGAGATCTTGTGCGATTCTGTCATCATGATAACCTCAAGACCAGGCAAAGCCGACGAGTTGGAMGGAGAACTCCACTTTGAYCGATGTGTGGAAATAACAGGTTTCTCAGAAGAACAGGTCCTTCAATATGTTGAGAAGTATTTCAACTCTAAACCAGAAGAAGTAAAAGAAATGGCCATGGAGAAAGTCAAAACAACCGCACATTACATGTCATTTGGTCGCGTCCCTCTGAGGTGTTTGTTCGTGTGCCAAGTCATCGAGTGGGAAATCAAAAACAAAATTACTAGAAATAATTTAGTTCCTCTTACACTCACTCAGTTTTATCGTGAAATTATTAGTTGCCTAGAAAGAGCTAATAGAGAGATGGATAGTTTAGATAAGGAAGAGGCTTCTCTGGCTGTTGAGAAAACCCTCCATAACTTTTCTGAATTAGCCGCACAGTTAGCTGAACAAAATCGCTTTGCTTTCACTCAAAAAGACTTAGAAAAGCTAAAATTACCTGAAAATGAAATATCTTACCTTAAATCAAGTAATTTAATATTTTGTTATCCTGTTGCCAGTGATTCTCCATTCCCACAAACAACTCTTGAGTATAGTTTTTCACATTTAACCATTCAAGAGTTTTTTGTTGCTTGTCATTTGGTGAAGAAGCGCGCAATGGCGGCACAAGAAACCTCTGACATGGTACACATATTCACGAGTGGTTTGTTGGGTTTAGATCAGGAGAACAACAACGATAAATGTATGTCGAAAGTACTAAAGTCTGTATGTAAACAAGGGATGGATGACTTGCATGGATGGAGACAACGCGTTGTGTTATTGCGCTGTCTCCATGAGTACGGCCTAGAGAAAGAATTCACAAGACAAGAACTGACTACAAATCCTGACTACAGATACTGGTCTAGTGGTGGGAGGATTGGATTAGAAGGTGTAACCGACACGGACTGTGATGCACTCGCTATGTTATTAGAATCCACTGCTACATCAATATCATCACCACCACTCACATTGTACATTCAATGGTCACAGATAACCATTACCATGTTAAATAGATTGTTGTCATCTCTTCATTCAAACTCCACAATCACTAGACTGGGGCTGGCGTGGTGTAGTTTGAATGATGATCACGTAAAGTGTTTGTGTAAATATTTAAGTAACACTCACATCACCTGGCTAAACCTGTCTCACAATAACATATCAGATGTAGGGGTGCATCACATTGTACATAACAAACCTAGTAAACTAACC